AATTACACAAAGTGCAGCAATTATACCTTCCTTTTTATCTTAGTTATCACTTAGTACACCCTTAGTAACAATCTAGCAAAGTAGTTCTAGTTCTTATTTATCTTTTTACAGTTTGAGTCCACAGATTTACTTAATATACTTTAAAGTAGTTAAGTTTATCTCACAGTTACCAAATCTCGCAATTATTTAATCAATTGTTTTGTGCATTTGTATAGCAATTACTTCAACACATTTTTGTACAATTTCTTTATACAAAAATTATGGTTTTCAATTCCCTCCAAATGTTTATTTTATTCAGTATTTCTGTTGTAGTGGTGTAGTTCTTGTCTGTTTCTTAATTCAACTGAATGATTTTATTTATCTTTTAATTTATTTCAGAAGCCAATCTTAATTAATTATATACACTCCCTAAGATTTTAATCTTAATAACTTTCCAAAATAATATTATTATTTTAACCCATTGAATAATTACCACATTTCATTCTTAACTCAAATATATCAGCAGTTTACAAATCGGCAGTAGCTATGAAACACTTATCATCATTAATACCAGTTTCCCTGTTGTTGATTTTCGTAATTACTTTTACAAATATTACACACTGTCAGGTAAAACAGTTTAAAAGTTCAAGGTTTGCTAAAGCAACTGTTCTTGTTGATTAAAATGGAATTGTTAATGGAGATTATAGTAGAGATTGTGTTTATGTTAGATTGCCTGTTAAAAATTTTATTTACTCGACAAAATTATACCAAAATTAGATTTTGTTAGAAGAGTTATTAATGCTAGCCTTGTTAAATTTAAGTTGTTTGCTGAAAGCTACTATAGAAGACCTTGAGATCTTTTAAATTTTTTTGAAGAAAAACTAAAGGGGGGAGATGCGGCAGTCCATCCGGGAAAGGACAGGCTGTGGGCTGGCCACACAAGGTAACAATATTAGGCCATGGGAGGCAAGAAGTAAAGACAGGAAACATCTAGTAAAATTAGGGTGAGAAGAGAAGAATGATAGGAACAGTTATGAAGATTAAGCCATTCCATATAAGGTTATGTTCTGAACCCCACCCTCTGATTGGGTAAGCTTGTGTTCCATATAAGGTATTGTTTCTGATTCTCTCTGTTCATTGGTTTCCTGCCCTCAGATAATGTCTATATAAGAGTGCGTTTGCCTCATTTCGAGGTCTTCTGGAGCAGCTCTATACAATGTAATGTTTGTGTTTTGTTGAGCAGTGATGGTTAGTGTCCTTCTTATTTTCCATTATTAAATTTGGTATTTGGGCACTCCAGTTGTTCTCGTTTCTCTGTCTGCTGCCTAGGACCCTCTGGCAGGGCCATCTAAGCCTGGTGGTGGCTGGGACCTCTCTTGCTCTGCCACCTTGTGTACAACCCTTTTGGCTTTCATTTTAGAGACGCTTGGTCCCTGGCTGGTGTGGCTGGAGGAAAATTTGTTAATCACAAACTGCTGCAACAGTGTCTGTACAAGCCCACAATGGCAGTGTTAGGAAGGTCTATATGTCTAATTTAATAAACAACAAAACTGAATTGAGCAGCAATTTTGTCATGGATTGACTCTGGCACAGTGCCGGTGTTTTCATGAAAGGTGTATTTTTTAAAATGGTTACTGTGAGATGTGATTCGGGAACAGAACAAAGTAGGTTTTAACTTGGGAATGGAGGGAAAAAAAAACCTAACACTTTATTAATTTACATAGACACAAAAAGGAAGGAAAAATTTTAATTGAGCAGCAATTTTTTATATAAATGAAATACAATCACATATGTTAAATCTTATCAAGCGCACACCTGAAATCATCCCAAGGCAGATTCTGTTTTCTGGAATTGTCCCAACTTTGTTCATTCCAAGGCCAATTTTGTTTTGGGATCTTGCTTACCTCAATACTACATCGTGTACCCTGTTTTTCACATGTCACATCTGCAAAGGGGCCCATCTGCTTTGTAACAGTAATCACATGTATTTTTCCTTTATTTTATATATATATAGTTACAATTTAGTTAGCACGAATCATATCCATTTATTACAGCAGCAACTGTTCAGAGACATGAATAATTACTCAGCAGCCATGAATGATTTTAATGTCCTTGTTAACCAGTATGCTCTTTGAAGCATCTCACCACACAAATTTGCCAGATTTTCAAAGTGGCAGCTTCTTTTTTAGCTTGAAGAAGTTGTGCCTTCTTATTACATATTATGACATAGTTATCTTATTAGATATTATGACATATTATTACATATTATGACTAGTGTCTGCAGTTTTGGATAGCATGTTAAGTTGAGGGGTTTTACTTGTGAACTTTGGAAAAATGCGTATTTATTGTCACTGTAACCCTCTGGCACAAAAGGTAAATTATTTTAAAATGTTTTCCTCTTCTTCTAGAAAAGCTACAGTAAACAAGCCAGTACAGTAAAAAAGCTACAGTAAACAAGCCAGTTACATGAAAACTTCTTTCAACCTGTTGCTGAAGTCCAGCTGGTTAACTAGTAGAAGTAGAAAAGCAAAGTGATTCTAAATACTTTAAACCAAGGAATTTACATAAAAACATTTTTTTCCAGAAAGCTTGTTCATTAATTTTAAATCTAGAAAGAATACTAAGATTAATTAGTCAGGTGTTTTATATATATTATATTTGGTTCAAGAATCTGACAGCAAAACTCCATGGAGGCTGTGTATTACTGAACATCTTTTCTAGAAGGAAGTTCTTAATTTCCAGGCTCTGAACTGATGCAGCAATTGTTATGGTAATATATTACACTTGTTAATTACTCCATCTGCTAAAAACATATAAGTTACTTCTAGTCTGAACATTGATTTACAGCATTTAGCAAATATTTCTGATAGATTTAGAAGTCTTAGAAAACTATTTTTTCAGTTAGTCATCTTGCAATCATGCTGGATAAACACTATTCCACATAGTGCGTGACTTAACTCTATGACTTCCGTTAACTTTATCCAGCTTCATAGCTCACATGGCTGGAGGAGATTATAGAGAATGTGTTGGGAGGAAAGAGTAATAACTGGAAGGTTTGGTGAGGAGAATAGTTTTGATCAAAGTGATTTTGCAGCTGGGAATATGAGAAATGTTGGAATATGAGAAAACTCCATTTATTATGCTTAATGTTGCTTATTCTCTGCGTTGTCAAAAACATGTAAACCCTTTTGTTTTAGTGAGGCAGGCAGTTAGCACCCCCCCAATGGTCTGCTAGAATGAACTACGCCAAATAGAGCCTGTGTCCCCATGTGTCTTCCACAAGGTGTTATTAGCAAGGTAATGAAATAAATCTACTCTGCATTTCAGCTGTGGTTTGATGGTTATTCTTGGTTACTTCTATGTATCGACTCACACAGAGGCATACAGAACAGTGAGAAAGAAGAATCCTTACCTGGAGAAATACCAAATTTTCACTCTTCTGAGGACCCATGTCATAGCAACAATGGTCTTACCTGCAGGAAGCAGCTGGTACATATAACTCTCAAGATGAATAATGATTGTGATTTGTAATCAAAAGGCATCTTCTCCGCCCCCAGAACCGTCCATGCCTGCAGGACAACAGTCTGGACACAGCCTGTGAATAATGTCCTGGCAGTGGGCTTCCATTTCATAGGCAAGTAAACTCCTCTTGTCTTCCAGAAGGATTTCCTTGAGTAACTTTCGAGCAGGGTGTACTTATGGCATGTAAATCTGTATGAAATGGTCAGTATCAGCTGTGTGTGCAGTAAGGTGCAACTGGAAGGTGCGAGCATGAAAATATAGTGGAGCATGAAGTTATAAATGCCTTCTACTGAAAATGCCATCTAAACAGCAAGGGAACTGACAAATTGATATAGTAAATAGTTGTGGCTGCTTAGAAAGATTTGGTGTTTGTGCTGAAGTTCTTCACCAGCAGCTACAGGGTCTGCAAAAAGGAACCATCCAAGTACTGCAGTTTCAGTTAAGGTGGCGATGATTTCTAACCTTTTTAAGGTTTTGAAGTGTTTTAGTGGTTGGGGCTTGGGATTTGTGTTTCTAGGCTGCTCCAGAATGCTTCTGTCTCCCACAGTGTAAATCATGAGGACAGTTAACGTCCAACAGAACAGTGACAAGGAACCACAAAAACCATGATCGCTTAAATCGCTCAGATCAGCTGTTTAGGGTACTCTGGTCAGTGTTTGCAGCTGGGCATTTGCTTTGCACAAGTCCACAGCCTTCAGTGATGGTACGAGAATGGCCAAAGCATATCCTACAGGGCCCTTTCCCAGCTTCTCAGCTTTACTCCCCAGATGGACTTCTTGCTATTTATTACTAGGAGGAAGCAAAATGCTTCAGTTTCTTTACAAATGAGATTTACTTAAAGATGTAGTGTTTGGTGGTTACTCTTGACCAATTCTAAAACACACAGTGAACATTTTGAAAATACATCAGCAGTTTTGGGAGTCTACACACTGTAAAAACGTTATTTATCAACGTGGTAGATTTAAAATCTCTTGGTTTTAACTGCAGTACTTTCGATTTGGATCAAATTTTGAAATGTAGCATTTTGCTTTGAATGGAAAACTTTCCATCCACATTTACTACATTGAACCTAAATTCAAAGAAAAGGAATAGTGATGTCAGACAAAACATTCGACTCTTTTTGGTCCGGAAAAAATATCTCATAGATAGCATTCACTATGCTTAACGTCCTTGAAAACGAAAGAAAAGACTGTTTTGCTGTGAAGGTCACGATTAACCATAAGTAAGGCTTTTGCTGGTGGACGCTGTTGCTCCCATCGTTGGTTCTGGCGAGCGGTTCTGGGCGTTCAGCGTGGCCGATCTCCGCGAACAGGGGCTCGTGCCGAGGCCGCGGGCCCAGGCGGGGCGCGCTGGCAGCGCGGCCCGTGCCCCTGGCGCGGTGCCCGGCGGGAGCTCCGGCCCGCAGACTGTGTCTCCCGGCGGCCCCCGCGAGCGCCTGCGCCGCCGCGGCTGCGCGAGCGAATCATCGCCCGCCCGGCGCGGCGCTGGGGTCGGCCCGAGACCGCGCGCGAGGAGCGGGGCCACTCAGCAGCGCCGAGAGCCCGCGGAAAAACCTCCGCTGCCCCGGCGCTCCTCCCGTCGCCGTGCGGCGTCTCCAGCCAGAGGACCGCGTTACCTGCGCCCGGCGCGGGTAAGTGGGAGGGCGGGCTCGGGGCTGGCGGGCTGGGGCTCGGGACGGACGGACGGACGGAAGGTGACGCGCGGTCCCGGAGGCTGAGGGGGGCTCGGCGGTCGGGGCCGCGGCTCGCGCCGCTCCCTCGGGGGGGTGCGCTCGCTCCGCCGCGGGCAGGAGGGGGCGCTGCCGCCGCGCCGCCGCCTCCCATTGGCTGGCGGGGCGGCGCGCGCATGCCCGAGCCCTGCGCGTGGCGGCGGCCGTCGGGCGCGGAAGGGAAGGGGCGGAGCGAGGGCTGTAAATGGCAGTGGTGGAACCTGGCCCGGCCTGGTGGTGGTGAGGAGGATATCTCTGCCTAACTCACCCACCCTTGTCAACCGCTGTGGTATATTTGTACAGTAAGTATTGCTTAGTGTTACTAACATAACAACATGATATGTGGAAGTAACTTGCATAGCGTGAGCTTGTGGTTGTTAGGTAGTTCTTTTGTACTACACATGCGTCTCCTCAATTCGGGGATTGTCAGGGTGATGTAAAATTTTGGTAGCCAAACCAGATTTTATTTTAACATCTTTTATTTTAAAGAAAGCAAGCAAGCACTGCTGGGTGGCCAGGGAGTCGCCACTCCACTAATGGCACATGCCACTACAAGGTCACAGAGCATATATATATATGGTTTTTAAGCCATTTTCCAGTATGCTTGTGTTAGTTGGAATCAGGAAATATCAGTAAGCTGGGATCAGAAATTTCATCTTTCTAGGTGGTCATTGGCTTCCTGTCCTTCTTGTGGTTGTCTGGAGGGAGACCTTTCACTAGTGTCTGCTACATAATTTTAGTCTGGTACAAGTGTATCAAGCTTTTTCTTATACATAAGCATTTAGTTGCTATGTTGCAATATCCTTTAGCTGTACCACAACTTCCTCTGTTTTATTCTAAGCATGAGTCGTTTTGCTACATAATTTCTTTACTATATTTATGCTGTTTTCTTGTTTGATGCATTATTTGGCTATTCAGTCTGAAAATTTCAAAACTTCTTTGTAGTTATCCCAGGAATCATGTCAGCTTTTGACACAGCAGATACAAGCACTTACTGATTCCATTGCCAATTGACAGGAATCACAAAAACATTTTTCATAAGGGGTCTTTGATGAAGGCTTCCAAGGTCTTCTTTGCACCTGAACTTTTCAACTTTGTCTTTGGAGCATGTACAGTTATGGTGTTCTTTGGTCTGTCTGGTCCTAAATTCTTTTGTTTTGTGGCTAATTTGCTTTACATTGGGCAATTGCTCATTAGTACTATTCTTGTCTATCTCTAAAGATATCTGCGTAGTGAGTTTTTTCTTCTTTTTTGTCTATTCATTGTTAAGCAACCAGTTATCTATTTACTAGCCATTACACTGTATAGAAGGTTATTTGTATCAGGTTATATAGGTATAAAAAAACCATGATTCAGGTTGTATTGATGTCAGATTATATAGATATATTATGTTATGTAGATATTTTATAACTCAAGCTGTTTATATAGGCATTATCATCCTCAAAATATCCAGTCTAATCCTGGCCTCTGTTAGTGGGAAGCCCTTCTCCCTGGTCCTGTCTCTCCAGGCCCTTGTTCAAATTCCCTGTCCAGGTCTTTTGTAGGCTACCTCCAGGTTCTGGAAGGCCACAATTAGGTCATCTTGAGGCTTTCTTTTCTCCAGGCTGAACAATCCCAATGACAGAATCACAAGGTTGGAAGAGACCTTCAAGATCAGAGAGTTTATCTCATGCCCCAGCACCTCTAAACCTTGGCACTGAGTGCCACATCCAGGCTTGGTTAAACACATCCAGGGATGGTGACTCCACCACCTCCCCAGACAGACCATTCCAGTACTTTATTACCCTTTTTGTAAAAAAGTTTTTCGATTATCCGACTTACATTTCTCCTGGCGCAGCTTGAGACTGTGTCCTCTCATTGTGTCAGTTCTTTTGGAATTTCCATCCCCACCCATTCCTGCCCACGCTGCCTCCTTGCACTTCATATTATAATTAGTCTTCTGTGTTGCCATGCCCCCTGGGGGTCTTGGGCAGGGGTCTTCTTGATTAAAGTAAGGTTCTCTGTGTTTGCTGCTTGACTTCTTCTGGACAAGTACAGTGGAGGTTTGGCTTTCTCCCAGGTCAGTTTGTCCTGGTCAAAACCAGGAGCCTGGTCCTGGCTGGTTTGGATTCTGCTTTATGGGTTTCAACAATACCTGAATCTTGCTTTACTGAGTTTTCTTATCTTTATGGCCTTTACCTAGCAGCTGTATTCTTTTGTGTTCTGTTACAAGTTGTTTCTACCTAACAAGTTGCATTCCTGTTACAAGCCTTGTTCTTGTTTTTACAAACTTGTCAAATAATCTATATATATTTCAGTTTTCTTCCACCCACCTAACTAGATTACATGCTTCTAAAATTCTGAATTTTCATAAACATACATTTCCTATTATCAGTGGCCCCATGTGCAACAGCACAGCCACCATCAAAGAACAGCTCCAGCTGACAAGAAAGAATTGCTGCAGAAGCCTCTTAGCCTGGTGTTAAAGAGAAGTTGGCATATAACTGTACATCTGTGTGGACATATAACCTTATTAGCTTCTCTTGCCTTTGCAACAATATTTTCAATCACAAAATATCTTGGGTATCACCTGTTGTGTTCAGTTTTTTGTTTGCAATCTTCTGTTACCAAAGGTATGTGAGGTACTTGAGAGAAACATCTGCATGGTGACTATTTCATGAGTGCAGCTGCCCCCATAAGCTAATCACGTAGCTGAGTTGTCAGTGTACAAGTTTTGTAGTCGGTATCTCACAATAAGGAACAACTTTTAGACTGCTTTTGTAAATATATCTGATATTTTTTTCTGCTTGTTTAACTTAAACTCTGCATTTAAGATAACAAAATCTAATGAAGCATTTTAAAGGAAACAATAACTAAACTGAAGAACCAGACTTGTAATTCTATTATGTAAATTAGATGGCATAAAAGTTTGTCTCCTAACCAGCCTAGTACAGGGGACCCTGGGGACAGCTGAGGTACCACTACTGGTAACCTTTTTTTTATCCATCAGGACATGAGACTTTTTCCTAGAAGTTTGATTGAAGCTTGTGTTCCTCTGAAAAGATTGTGTATTTGTAATTCTCTGACACATTTCCAAACTCTGGGTCGTCGAGTTGACTTTTATTTCTGGTCCCTGGACTTTTTTTTCTGGGTGAAGAGAGCCTCATAATAGGATTGACCAGTGTTCTTCCTTTAATGCGAGGAAGAACACATGTAATTAATTCCATGGAAATCAGTGTTCTGGTTCATTTGGTTCAATGTAATAATAAGAACAAAGGAGAGAGCTGCAGAGGGAGTGAAGTGACCAAGTGGAGGGGGTGATTACTGCTGAAGAGTGGTGGGATGATTGGTTTCCCAGTCAGTGCCCTGACGTGTGCTGTGGTAGGCAGCAGTACTCCAATGAGGGCACAGGGCACTTGAGGACACAGGGCACTTGACTGCATGAAGCCACCGTGCAGAGGTGCCCGCTTTGGATACCAGCTGTAAACTAAGTGATTTTTCCCCCCAAGACGATGGAATGTGAATAGGTGCTTAGTGTTGGATTACCTCTTTGTGAGAGCCCCAGAAAAATTTAAAAGGTTTTGTTTGTCTTTAAACCTGAGTCTTTTGTTTGCTGTATGTGACTGTTGCAGTACAGACATACAAAGCAACGGCTTGCATTAGTGAGGATGGCAATTTCTCTCTCTGAAAAATGTGTCAGCACCAATGCTGTTAAAGAACTACCAGTAGAGTTTAGATTAAATTAATTCACTTCTCAAATACTCTTGTGTCTTGATGGATACGCAGAACTGTAATTCTTAGTGAAGCTGATCATCATGTTGACTAAGTAAATAAAATTACACTGGTAAAGACAGGATTTATCAGATGGTCAGATGTGCTGTTATTAATATTTCATTTTGTTTGCATAATTCCAGTGTAATTTATGAATGCTTGGGTGCTGCAGTAGGACACTTCAAATAGCAGCTGCTGTAATTGTGTTCTACTCTTTCAATTGTTCTTTCTAGTATCAGAGCTCATGTAGGCTGACTAAAAAGTCACAGTGCTGACTACCATAAAATTACCAAGAAAAAAGTTATCCTTGGTTTTGGGAAGGTCTCAGCTGTGTGATGAACTCTCCTTGCCACCTCATCCTCTTCTACCAAAATGCTTCTGGTTTCTTGTGACTTGGTGCTGAATCAGCGCTGTTGAATGTGCTGGAACTGCACAGTGCCCATTCTGTAAGAAGAACTATAAGAAGTACTGGCACAATCAGCCTGGCTGTGCCAATTTCTACCAGTTCACTGAGTGGTCAGGTATGACTTTGGGGTCGCCAACCACCGGGAACCACCAAAGTGTCCCTCAGGACAGGAAAATGCATGCATAAAGGGTAGAAAAAAACCTATGTTAACAATTTGGGGGAAATTATTACTGTATGTATGTTTATTTTGAGAAGAATCAATGAATATGTATGCAAGATATGGTATATAAATAGGAAGTTTTCTGTCATTAGCATGCGCACTATTTCAGAGGTAATAACCCTCGCCCCCACCCGGCCCGCCGGGAGCCAGCAGCGCCCCTGCTGGCCGTGCCCGGAACTGCAGCCAGGGGAAGGCGCCCTTCTCTCTGCAGGGACGGGGCTGGGGCTGGCTTTGTGCTGCTGCTGCTTGTTTGCCTTGTTATACACATACATACCAGTAAGGAACTGTTATTCCTTTTCCCATATCTTTTGCCTGAGAGCCCCTTAATTTCAGAGTTACAATAATTTGGGTAGAGGGGGGGTCATACACTCCATTCCAAGGGAGATTCTCACTTTCCTTGGCAGACATGTGTCTTTCAGACTGAGGCATATATATATAAATAAATATATATGTGTAGTTTTTAATTTATATATATATATATATACTGACCTTTCACTGTTGTTTCACTCTAATCTGCCCCAGACGCTCTATTAATGTGAACCTCAT